AGGCCAAGGTGGGTGGATCATGAGGTCAAGAGATCGAGAACATCCTGGTCAACATGGTGAAACCCCGTCTCTACTAAAAATACAAAAAATTAGCTGGGCGTGGTGGCGCGTGCCTGTAATCCCAGCTACTCAGGAGGCTGAGGCAGGAGAATTGCCTGAACCCAGGAGGCGGAGGTTGCGGTGAGCCGAGATTGTGCCATTGCACTCCAGCCTGGGTAACAAGAGCAAAACTCCGTCTCAAAAAAAAAAAAAGAAAAGAAAACTGATTCATAAGAAATAAAACAGTGCCAGGTGTGAGGAGTGCAGCTGTCACGGAAGACACACAACATAGAGATAAGGGGGCTCTGGGCGCTCACTGCAGCTGCATTTCCAGGCTCTGCTGATACCACCTTACTCGGCCTCTTACCAACAAAGGCATTTCTGGGTGCCCAGAGTCACCCTGGCCTTGCTTTATACTGTAGTTACGTGCTTAATGCAGAAGCCAAGATGGAGTCTGTTCGGCTCAAAAAGGCTAACAGAAAGCCTGAACAGCGTTTAGTCAGGGAAAAGGAGAGTTCGTTTTAGCTGGCAAAAAACAGGGCATCACAGCTAAAGGATAAAAACTGCACCATTCCATCTATATAAATTTCACAAACGAGGCAACACTTGGAGTAATAAGATGGATTAGTAGTTAGGACAGAGATCTGTGACTGAAAATGAGCTACAAAAGGTCTCCTGGGAGGGACCGAGTGGACTCTCTGTCCTAGATCATTGATATGTTCAGTACCATGTAACATACCATGGTAATACGGTATGTTCCTTTTGTGATAATTTGCTTAGGATTTATGCTTTCTGTATGTATGTTTTACATATATAATACAAGGTAATAGCAATATAATACTACTATTTATAGTAGTAAATGGAGGAATTTGAGATAGTACAGGCAAATTTTTTCCAGAAAGTTTTAGTATAAGGGGAGCAGAGGTGATAGCTGAAGGCTCTTTTAAAGATGGGAGGGATGACCGCTCCAGAAGGTTCACTTACTCATATTTACCATCGTTGCAAAACATCTGTTCTGTTGTTTGCTTATTGTTTTCAACTTAAATTTACTTAAAAAGCAAATTTCACATTAACACTGTGTCACTTGCCACAACAGAAATAACTGTAAAATACAATAAACACAAGAGTCATTCAATTAAAATTATTTAAAAATGTAAACGTAATTGAACGCAAATAAAAACCAATCAAATTGAGGTATGAAAAGGAGGGTCTAAAAACAAGTCACTTAAACAGAAAACCAGAGCTGTTGATGATCAGTCAGAAAAGAAAGGATATTCCGTTCCATGTATATATAATAGTCACCACCACCGTGCATATTCCTTCACCATCTTCACCTTTACACTGTATGCATACTGTTTTCAACACCTATCCATATTCATTTCAACAGAGGAATACCATAATTGGAGAATACCTCACTGAGAAACATACGACCAACCTGAAAAATACTAATTGCTCCCCAAATGCTATCATTCAGGACTCTAATAGTAAAACTTATTATTTAGATAGATAGGCAATGTAGATGCTAATATATCAATCACCTCCAAGAGAGCTTTGCCAAGGACCTATGCCAGTTTCCCTAAAATGTATATCTTGGAACCAGCTATATTATTTTTTAGAAGTGTCATTCTGCATAATGAAAACATAGCCCCACATAAGGTGACAAGAGGATGCTGACTTGCCCAGTATTTGAGGTTGTCCCCCATTCCCTGTTGCTGATTTGGAGGAAAGCTGAGCTTTAGAAAAAGCCTCCTCATGGCTGGGCACAGTGGCTCACACCTGTAATCCCAGCACTTTGGGAGGCTGAGGCAGGCAGATCACAGGTCAAGAGATGGAGACCATCCTGGCCAACATGGTGAAACCCTGTCTCTCTACTAAAAATACGAAAATTAGCTGGGCACAGCACTGTGCACCTGTAGTCCCAGCTACTTGGGAGGCTGAAGCAGGAGAATCCCTTGAACCCAGGAGGCAGAGGTTGCAGTGAGCCAAGATCGCACCACTGTACTTTGGCCTGGTGACACGGCGAGACTCTGTCTCCAAAAATAAATAAATAAAAAGCCTTTTCATGCTGCTGACTAAAAAGAACCCCCACTCCTACATCTCTTCTTAGAAATTACCAGTGTATGCCTCAGTGTGCGTGTGTGTAGGGGGAGGTGCTGCTCAGCTGCGGTTCTAGCAGTTGAAACCAGGCAAAGGCAGGAGGCCATGCGGAGATGCTCCTGCAACTCTCACTAGGCCCAGAATCATTGGCTAAGTTCCATGCTTTAGAAAACACTGCCCTATAAACATCGAGACAATATTTTCCAAATTAAAAATCAGGCAACCCAATCTTTCAACAAGATAGAGTAAGGAAAGATAACAGCTGCCCAGAAAACCCGTAATAATAGTGCCATACCTAGGACAGTATGAGTCCACACATTTGAAATGTTTAAAATCTACACTAGTGTACTGGGATATGAAAATTCATAGACATAATCCCTGCCCTCAAAGTAAGGTTACCAGATAAGATTACAGAATGCCCAGATAAGATTTCAGATAAACAGGCATTTCTTTTAGTGTATGTCTCAAATATTACATTAGATATATTAAAAATGTATCTGTGCAAACCAACAGGAAGAAGGAAGAAAAAAGGAAAAAAAGTTTATCTGTTCATATGAAATTCAAATTTCTGAGTGTCCTACGTTATTATTTTCTAAATCTAGCAACCCTACCTCAAAAGCTCTTCTCACTATTAAAGGACAAAGCCAATTCAAACACAGTGAGAGTGTGAGAAGCGTCAGAGCAACAGTCATCACAGAATGCTTGTTCATATCAAACCAATATCCAACTTAGGGAAGACATTTGGAAACTGGTAACATTGGAACAGAGTCTTAAGCTGGAAACGTATGGGATATACCTTTTTTTTTTTTTTTTAGCATTTAGTAACATGCCATAATGGTTTGTGACTTCACTGTTTGATAAACTGTGCTTTGTCTACAGAACTAGATTCCAAGTTCCTGAAGACACAGGTCATCTCTTTATGTCCCTCACACCACCTGGCACTGACAGGCACACTTAAGGCAGTAGTAAATTACTGCACACATTGATGCAAATGATTTTGTCCTCCCAAAGAGTAAAAATATTCTGTTTGTGAAGTGTATTATAACTAGGGTTTACCTTTTCAGTTTTAGTCTTTCAACGCTGCAGCCAAGGACCCAATCTGAAACCTGGCGAGTCTAATTCATAGTAAATACATGAGCCCTTTGCAGTGCAGCAAACTCTTAATCCAGTTTTACGATGGATTCAGTGTAGCTGGAATGGGCACCATTTTTTTTTTTTTGAGATGGAGTCTGGCTCTGTCGCCAGGCTGGAGTGCAGTGGTGTGATGTCGGCTCACTGCAACCTCTACCTCCCGGTTCAAGCGATTCTCCTGCCTCAGCCTCCCAAGTAGCTGAGACTACAGGTGCACATCACCATGCCCAGCTAATTTTTGCATTTTTTTGTAGAGACAGGGGTTTCACTATGTTGGCCAAGTTGGTCTCAATCTCTTCACCTTGTGATCTGCCGGCCTTGGCCTCCCACAGTGCTGGGATTACAGGCATGAGCCACCGCGCCCAGCCGGAATGGGCATATTTTTATTTTGGTGTACCTTCCTAAGTCCGTCATGTGTGACATATTCATAGTTGGATTCCAGGCACTGAAGCAGTTACTATAGCTGGATAGTCCCATGAGTATAAGAAGGCTTCTCTGCAAACACATGCTGCCCACACGAAAGTTCCTCTTTAATGTACGGCAGTTTGAAACTGTCCCCCACCTTCCCTAAGAGTCCACTCGCAGCTAGTTTAGGGTCAGGTGTACCATAGCCTTTGGAAGAGGGAGGGAAGATAACTTTTCTCATCTCTAGTAGACCCAGCTCTAAAGAACAGAACCAGGGAGGAAGCAAGCCTGCCCTCCCAAGCACATTCCCCAAAGGTGGCAGCTTTTCAACAATTTTACTAACAAATTTAAGGCATTATAGATGTCTTAAAAATTGGCATGATAGATGTCAGACTGATCATGAAAAGACTCTAAAAGAAGGGATAAATATGTAAAGAAGGTAATCAAATGGGGAGCATTTTCTTCTTCCCCTTCGATTTCTTGAATTGAGTCTGAATTATTGATGTCTGAGCCCAGAGCATTACTCCGTGGTCCGGCCTAAGGTTTCTTGCATTTTTTTTTTAAATCACAATATTCCTAAGGGAAGAGGACAGCGACTAGGTCTGGGATATTATGCGGACTGGAAACTAGCCACAAATGGCCGGAAAAGTCCAAAATGCCTTTACAGCCTTTGTCTTTAAGGCCCATTTTCAAGATCTGGTTCTATAGTTAATTTTCCCCGACTTATGTCAAAAATAAACGAAGCTGGATTCTAGGTAAAGTGGTAGAAACAGATTTTAATCACTACTACTACTGCAATGGGGAGAAGAGCCCAGCGTGAACTGTATTCAATTTCGATTTGTACAGAGGTGACTGGGCGTTTTAAAGAGAATGAAGGTATTAGGATGGGACTGAAGACGCCGAGGGGATTGAGCAACTAATTCCAGCGGAGCTCCTTTTCCACATTTGAAAGCCTCAACACGAACGCTCGGCGGCGCTCTTTAAATGTCAGCCTCGCGAACTGGGGTTGCAGCCAGGAGAAAACTACAACCCCCAGCAGTCTCTGCGGCTGTATACACGCCTAACTTCCGAGGCATTGCTCGCCATCGGCCAGTAGCGCCAGTTTCAGCCACGCCCTCAAGAAGCCGCACAGTGTTCCGGCCGGCAGCGGCTGGAGTCTTAGGGCAGCGGACCGGTGTCTGTCCAGCGATATGGAGGGCTTAGGACGCGACCCTAAGAGTTGGAAGCCGCAGGAGGCGGAGCCGGGTTGCGGGATGCGCGCTGACGTCACATCCGCTGGGCGGGGCCGCAAGGAACCCGCGCAAATTGAAAGGTCCGGTTTTCGCTCGGTGCCGCCAGGTTACTCGTGTTCTGCGTCGCTGGTCGTGGGTGCTCTGGCCGCAGTGAGTTAGGGGGACGTCGGGGGCGGATTTCTCCAGCCCCACTCGGCTCCGTTCAAGGGGACGAGGAGAGCCCCTTCTCGGAAGGTGAGAGGAGCAGGCCGTGTGGAGGCTAATGGGTGGGTTCCGTTGGGGGTCGATCTGCGTGTCACCTCCGACTCTCCTGTCCGGATTCGGGGTCTTCCAGGAAGGGAAGGAGAGGATATGGCGTGGTCTTCCCAACCCGACAGCAGAGCCTTCAGCCTGAGTGGAGTATATGTTGTTTTGTTCTCAGGGGACGTCTGGCCACGTGAGGTCTGCAATTAGTGAAGGGAGGGAGATAAAGAGCAGATGATACCGAGCTGGAGCGGGCGCCAGGGTTGCCAGACTTCTCTCATTTATCCGCAGAAACCGGCAGTCCAGATTTTACATGCAATCTCTCCACCTTTAAATGTTGACAAGTGGCCAGCGCGGTGGCTCACTCCTGTAATCCCAGCACTTTTGGGAGGCCGAGGCGGGTGGATCACCTGAGGTCGGGAGTTCGAGACCAGGCTGACCAACATGGAGAAACACCGTCTCTACTAAATATACAAAATTAGTCAGGTGTGGTGGTACACGCCTGTGATCCCAGCTAATTGGGAGGCTGAGGCAGGAGAATCGCTTGAACCTGGGAGGCAGAGGTTGTGAGCAGAGATCATGCCACTGCGCTCCAGCCTGGGTAACAAGAGTAAAACTCTGTCTCACAAAAAAACAAAAAAATGTTGACAAGTACATTTTTCCATAATGTTGTGCAGGCCTAAGGAAACGTGTTGTCTGGAATGGGCTTGGGGCCACGCCTGCACATCTCAGCGAGACAGAGGGATAATGTGAAGATGGTGTTGTTATTGTTACCTCGAGTGTCACATGCGATCTCTTTGAGATATGTGCTCATTCATTCTTACTATTGCACTCAGACTCAGCCATTCTTACTGCGCTAAAGAAGAAATACTTATTCGAGGATATTTGCCTGGCCCAGAAGAAACTTAGGTAAATTCATGAACTATTATATCCATTTTCCTCGGAGTGAGAGAGAACTTTAGACACCATCTGAGAGGTAAGAGACTGTTTTTCTGAAACTGTAGCTTGAGGACCACCTGCATCCAGATGACCTGCTGTGTTTAAAATTCAGAGTCCCGAGCCTCACAGAAGAACTGGTGAATCTCAATCACTGATTGAAGTTGAGAATCTAAGAACCTCTGAAATTTGAGAACTGCTGGACTAGAGCCTTTAGAGCTCTGATAAAAGCTGACTTCTGATCCTGTACTTTCTTTCTTCCCTTCCTTCCATACTTAATGTTTGGTAGGAGAGATTTGTATTATGAAACGCTAAAACAACTGGTAAGTGCACATTGCTGACTTTTTATTGTAGAGTAGGGGAAGTAGGTATGTTCATCAGAAAGGGCTGTGACAGTTCCAGAATCTTTGCATAGAAAGGGTTTGGGGGCTGCAACCAGAATGGAAGCAGGTGGAAAGGTAAAGCATTTGTCTTGAAGCTGTATTTGCATAGCAGACGCAGTTTCACAGTTCTTTGGGGTCGCTTTCCGAGAGACAGGTGGATTTGCACCTAGGCACCACCACTGTTTATCACCAGAATGTTTGTGCTTAGAATAATGCATTCTGATAGCCACGAATTTCAGTCCTAAAAAAGTACTGGATCATTTCTGTAACTCTTTTGAATTTTTTCTGGAGTTTCTTTTTTTTGAGATGGAGTCTTACTCTGTTGCCCAGGCTGGAGTGCCATCTTGGCTCACTGCAACCTTTGTCTCCCAGGTTCAAGCGATTCTCCTGCCTCAGCCTTCTGAGTAGCTGGGACTACAGGCGTGCACTACCACGCCTGGCTAATTTTTATATTTTTAGTAGAGATGGGGTTTTACCATGTTGGCCAGGCTGGTCTCCAACTCCTGACTTCAGGTGATCTGCCCACCTCGACCTTCCAAAGTGCTGGGATTACAGGTGTGAGCCACTGTGCCCAGCCTCCTTTGTTTTTTAATTGAAATGCTTACCTTCCCACAAACTGTTCTGAGTTTCTACTCCTATTTGAATTGCATGCTGGCCCTTATAATGAATCCCTTCTGTAGAGGCAGTGTGACGCCATCACATGCATGGTTTTGTTTGTGCATGTGTTAGGAGTCAAAGTGCAGAAACACTTTGAATAGAATAAACATTAAGCAACTGTCAAGTGGCATTAGGGGTAGTATTAGTAATTAATGTAAATTCTACCCTATGGAAATTGTTCGACAGGGAGGAGCCCAGCTAAAATATGAAAGATCAGTGATTCTTGAATATGTAAACAGTTTCTACATTGGACTCCCAGTTTTCTCTTTGTTTATCTAAAATGTCTTGATAAATGTATTTTTCTTTAAATATTACTGTTCTGTCTCTTTTCACGTCATGTAGTTAATTTGGCACCATGGGGATACATGGCTTGCTACAGTTTATCAAAGAAGCTTCTGAACCCATCCATGTGAGGAAGTATAAAGGGCAGGCAGTAGCTGTGGATACGTATTGCTGGCTTCACAAAGGAGCTATTGCTTGTGCTGAAAAACTAGCCAAAGGTGAACCTACCGATAGGTAAGTCTGGACTTTATATTAATTCTTTGACAATTAAGAATGAGACGTATAATGCCTTTTCCTCCCCAGAAATGGATTTTCACTCAATGCCATAAATTATCAGGAAGCAATATGTTTTAGAATATTGCCAAATCAGGGATGACTTCCTTCTGTGATAATAGGCCTAGTTTTCTTTCTTTATAATAAGCCAGAGTATCAAGACACTAATGGACGAAAACCAAAGACTATTAATATGTCCTTCATTTATTTATTTATTTTTTGAGATGGAGTCTGTCTGTCACCCAGGCTGGAGTGCTGTGGCGTGATCTCAGCTCACTGCAATCTCTGCCTCCCAGATTCAAGTGATTCTCCGGTCTCAGCCTTCCAAGTAGCTGGGATTACTGGCATGTGCCACAACACCTGGCTGATTTTTGTATTTTTAGTAGACATGGGGTTTCACCATGTTGGCCAGGCTGGTCTCGACCTCCTGACCTCAAGTGATCCACCTGCCTTGCCCTCCCAAAGTGCTGAGATTGCAGGCATGAGCCACTGTGCCTGGCCCAATTCTTAACCTAAGATACATTTTTTAACAATGCTTTGAAAATCCATGATAATTTCTGACTCCCACATTCTTGGGTACAGAAAATATACTGCTAATCCTAGTTAGCAAAAAAACAAATGTCTTGTAAAATTTGTTCTAATTTCACATTGACTTTCTCCTAAATTTTGCTTTATAATCAGCGGGTCCCAATCATTGTTCTGTACGAATGCAAGTTCATTGTCACTGATCTACAACAAATAGAAAAAAATAGGATAATGATGTAGTGAGTCTCCTGTTAAGATGACTATGATTTATTTTTTTATGTATTTTTTGAGATGGAGTCTCACTCTGTAACCCAGATTGGAGTGCAATAGTGCAATATCGGTACGCCACAACCTCCGCCTCCCAGGTTCAAGCAATTCTCCTGCCTCAGCCTCCTGAGTAGCTGGGATTACAGGCGTGTGCCACCACGCCCAGTAATTTTTTTTTGTATTTTTAGTAGAGACAGGGTTTTGCCATGTGGGTCAGTCTGGTCTCGAACTCCTGACCCTCATAATCTGCCTGCCTCAGCCTCCCAAAGTGCTGGGATTACAGGCATGAGCCACTGCACTTGGTGACTATGTATGATTTAAAAGGTCATCTTTTTTTTTCTTTATTTTAGCTGCTAAATTTGTGTTATGTGAAAAGATTGTCTTTAAAGATTATGCTTTCCCATTCCTGCTTTTCAGCTAAAATGCCTTTTTTTTTGAGACGGACTTTTGCTCTTGTTACCCAGCTGGAGTGCAATGGCGCATTCTCAGCTCACTGCAACCTCCGCCTCCTGGGTTCAAACGATTCTCCTGTCTCAGCCTCCCAAGTAGCTGGGATTAGAGGCATGTGCCACCATGCCCGGCTATTTTTTTTTTTTTTTTTTTTGTATTTAGTAGAGACGGGGTTTCACTATGTGGGCAAGGATGGTCTCAATCTCTTGACCTCGTGATCCACCCGCCTGGGCCTCCCAAAGTGCTGAGATTACAGGCGTGAGCCACCACGCCCAGCCCTGAAATTTTTTTAATTAAAAAAAATGGTAGAAAAAGACCAGATTTGAAACCAAAGATGTCAGAATTAGAAGGAATATCAAAGCTCTTTAATTTACAAGTAAGGAAACCAAGACTACTTGGAGGGTTAAGTAGTTCACCAGACATCACATGGGTCATAAGCATCCAAGGCAGGATTTGAATCCAACTCTAATGAGAATTCCTATGAAAACATTTGCTTAAAATAACACATAAAAAACCTTCTCTTTTCATAATTTTCTCATCTGGCTTAAAATAGAGCAGAAGTAGTATTACCTTACAAAAGGCAAAGCACTTAAATGTATTTTTCTTTTTTTCCATAGGTATGTAGGATTTTGTATGAAATTTGTAAATATGTTGCTGTCTCATGGGATCAAGCCTATTCTCGTATTTGATGGATGTACTTTACCTTCTAAAAAGGAAGTAGAGAGATCTAGAAGAGAGTGAGTTATTTCTCTACTTAATCTCTAACTTCATTGCACTAAGGTCAGACATTGTAGTCTATAGGATACCAATTTTTGAAATTTTAAGCCAGGTTCAGTGGCTTCCCCTGTTGTCCTAGGTACTCAGGAGGTTGAGGCAAGGGGATCACTGGAACCCAGGAGTTCAGCGCTTTAGTGCCCTCTGATTACCTCTGTGAACAGCCACTATAGTCCAGCCTGAGCAACATAGTAAGATCCAGTCACTAAAAAAATTTTTAAATTTTTTTAAGTTTTAGTTTTTGACAGAGCCTCACTCTGCTGCCCAGGCTGGAGTGCAGTGGCACAATCTCAGCTCGCTGGAACCTCCACCTCCTGGATTCAAGTAACTTTTGTGCCTCAGCCTCCGGAGTAGCGGGGACTACAGGTGCACGCCACCACGCCCAGCTAATTTTTGTATTTTTAGTAGAGACAGGGTTTTGCCATGTTGGCCAGGCTGGTCTCGAACTCCTGACTTTGCGATCCAACGGCTTCAGCCTCCCAAAGTGCTGGAATTATAGGCATGAGCCGTTGTGCTTGGCTTAAACAAATTATTAAATAAAATTTTAATTTGTTGAGGCTTATTTTATAGCCTAGTATGTGAACAGATTTCCTTAAGTGTTATGTATGTGCTACATTATTATCACTTTTTTTAAAAAAAGTATTTTAGTTACTGCATTTTCTTTGATGTAAAGAATTACTGTGGAAAAGCCTGATGGTAATCTTGCGTGTGTGTGCACATATACATTTGAAATCACGTGTTCTTTTTGCCTTAGAAGCCCAAAGCATCCGGGTTAATGTTCTCAAGGACCTGGTGTGTACTTTCAAATGAGTCAAAAACTTGTTTCAATTCTAGGAAAGCTTCTTGAATTATTGTTTTGTTATAGTTTCTTGAGTCAGCCTCTTAAATGTTTTATATTTTAAAAATGTTCTTCCCTTGCAGAAGACGACAAGCCAATCTTCTTAAGGGAAAGCAGCTTCTTCGTGAGGGGAAAGTCCCGGAGGCCCGAGAGTGTTTTACCCGGTCTATCAACATCACACACGCTATGGCCCACAAAGTAATTAAAGTAAGCCGATAAAAAATGAAGTCGAAGGGGCAGGTGGGCAAGTTCACTAAAGCTAGTTTTAAGTTGTTTATTAATGGGAGAGCAAGAAAATCAAGGGTGGAAAATCATTCTAGGCCTCATCTCAAGTAAAGGACAGATATTAGAAGAAGAAGGGCACAGTATCATTAGATAAAGAAGAGTTCAATAATTTTCAGGAGAAATCCTAAGGCATAAGTAAGGTTCTCTCTTTAGTTATGTTCCAGAACAATGGAAGGAAGAGGGCCAGGCACACACCTGTAATCCCAGCACTTCAGGATGCTGAGGCAGGAGGATCATTTGAGCTCAGGAATTTGAGACCATCGTGGGCAACATAGTGAGACCCTATCTCTATTAAAAATAAAAAAATAAAGAGGTGGAAGGAATAAATCCCTGGAGGTGTCCTGTAGTCTCAACACTTACCGTAACTGGCACTCTCAAAGGACGGAGGTCTGTGATTTAGCCTCATTGCCTCAGGCACCCTACAGACTTCTGTTCCCTGTTACCTCCTCCTCAAAGCAGCTTCTTTCCTGATCCCTGTAAATAAATCTTAGTGTTGGGGTGCCCACAGTCCCAGCCTTCACTTTCCCCTTCTTAGAACCTGCTTGGTACAGGTGTTTTTTATTTGTTGTTGTTGTTTTGGGATGGAGTTTCGCTCTTGTTGCCCAGGCTGGAGTGCAATGGTGCGATCTGAGCTCACTGCAACCTCCACCTCCCAGGTTCAAGTGATTCTCCTGCATCAGCCTCTCAAGTAGCTGGGATTACAGGCATTCACCACCACGCCTGGCTAATTTTGTGTTTTTAGTAGAGATGGGGTTTCTCCATATTGGTCAGGCTGGTCTCGAACTCCCAACCTCAGGTAATCTGCCCGCCTTGGCCTCTCAAAGTGCTGGGATTGCAGGTATGGCCACTGCACCCAACTAATTTTGTATTTTTAATAGAGACAGGGTTCCTTCATGTTTCTCAGGCTGATCTTGAGCTCCTGATCTGAGGTGATCTGCCTGTCTTGGCCTCCCAAAATGCTGGGATTACAAGCATGAGCCACTGTGCCTGGCCTGTTAAAGGTGGGTTGATAAAGGTGGAGTCAGCTTTTTTTTTTTTTTTTTTGAGATGGAGTCTTGCTCTGTCACCCAACTATCTCGACCCGCTGCAACTTCCACCTCCTGGGTTCAAGTGGTTTTTCTGTCTCAGCCTCCCCGTAGCTGGGATTATAGGTGTACACCACCATGTCCAGCTAATTTTTGTATCTTTTTTTTAGTAGAGACACAGTTTCACCATGTTGGCCAGGCTGGTCTCGAACTCCTGATCTCATGGTTGGCCTGCCTTGGCCTCCCAAAGTGCTGAGATTACAAGCGTAAGCAACCGCGGCTGGCAGTCAGCTTTTTCTAGCTTAAAACAGTTCTGTCATCCGTTCTTGAGCTAAAATTAATACCACCGTTCTTATTTTGGCTTTGTCATTTGAGTCTTTGGCTCTTTCTGTATGGGTCAAGAGGAAAGGATGGGATGCAGGAGAGAGTGTGAAGTATAAGAGAAAATGTGTGCTCTGTGTAGTCACAAGAAGAGAGGCTGTACTGTGTCCGGAAGTAGAGGAGAAACCTTGGACACACAGTGGCGTACATGGGTGAGAGTGGGACTACTGCTGGGCAGAGAAAGAAAAAAAGTGAGAAAAATAGCAAATTGCAAATTGTCACCAAAATTGATAGTAGCAGATATTGATAACTCTTTCCTCTTTTTTTTTTTTAAGTTCCCAAAGCCTCTCTTCGGGCCTTGGGAACCATTTTCCCGTGATTTAGAACAAGGACGTTCCAGTTCCAGCTGCCTAGATTTTGACACGGAGGCTATGATAAGGACTCTTTTTCTTGGCAAGATTATTTTAGAAGTATTTTCTCATAATGTGTTGGTTTAACTATAGTTCTATAGTCTATAATATATGTAATATATATATATTTTTAGAGGAGAGTTATATATGTGTGTGTATATATGTATATACATATGTGTATATTTCCCCCCAAGACATTGCCGGATGTGGTCTATAATTTTATCAATACTGTGTCAGTACCCTGTTCGACTTTTGTAGCCTGACAGGACAACCCGTTACTTTTATGGGGAAGATATATTCAAAACTCCAAACAAATGTGTATTTTTGGAATGTGGCCATTCTTAAGATGGAAGCTTTCTTTTTTTTTTTTAATTTCTGCATTCATGTCAATTGGGAGGAAGCTTTCTATAATTTAAAATAATTAGGCCAGGCACAGTGACTCACGCTTATAATACTAGCACTTTGCGAAGCTAAAGCAAGCAGATCACTTGAGTCCAGGAGATTGACACCAGCCTAGACAACATGGCAAAACCTTGTCTCTACAAAAAATACAAAAAAATTAGCTGGGTGTGGTGGCATGCACCTGTAGTCCCAGCTACTCGGGAGGCTGAGGCGGGAGGATCTCCTGAGCCCAGAGCCCAGGAGGTCGAAGCTGCAGTGGGCCCTGATGGCTGGCACCACTGCACTCCAGCCTGGGTGACAGAGCCAAAAAAATAAAATAATTACTTTTGTAGCTTGTAGGATTCTTTTTTCCTCAGACTATATAGGAGTATTTCTTTTCTCCAAATTTTATAAATTGATTTTTTAAAAAATGTCTTAGTGGCTATATAATTAGTTCAACATATACTAGAACTTGCAGTAGAAAAACTCTACTTCAAAGGAAATGATTTCTCAAAGTAGTATTGGCATGTGTGTGCTGAGGCTAGTAATAAAGTGGGTTTGAAACAGGAAGTTGTTCAGTGCTTTCCAGATGCTGTGCTGGAGATTCATTGTGATTCTCTCCTCCAGGCTGCCAGGTCTCAGGGAGTAGATTGCCTCGTGGCTCCATATGAAGCTGATGCGCAGTTGGCCTATCTTAACAAAGCGGGAATTGTACAAGCTATAATTACAGAGGACTCGGATCTCCTAGCTTTTGGCTGTAAAAAGGTACTTAACTCTACTACTACATGTTACTTTTCTATGTAGGTGGGAATAGTGTAAACCAAGGAGCTGAAGTTTTTCCTGTTCAGGAAATTATCATTTATAATATTTATAAAATTGATAATGATTATGAAATATATAATTATTTTATTTAATAGAATATTTGTAACTGACATCTGTTTTTATAACATTAATAATTATTTTATTTAAAAATGAAAAGAAGGTCTTTGCTCCTGGACATTTGTGTAATCTGGATACTTTTTCAGAGTAAGCCCTTAATGTTGGAGAGTTTTGTTTTGTTTTGTACAAATTCTTTAGTAGAATATGGACTTGCCAGTTTTATTTTTGACTAATGACAACATACGCTTTATATTTCTCAATTAGGTTGGATATACTAACTTATATGCTAATGGCTTGCTATGCAGTTATTTGGAATTATGTATAAAACTACTTCATGGAAAACTTACTGTAGGAGAGAATTAAGATACAAAACTACAGGCTGCTCTTATTTTTGTTAATGCCTATATTTATGACTATTTGAAGAGTCTCTATCAAAAGGTTGATACTAGGTTACAGTGATAAATAGGGGAGTATAGATGGCTTGTTTTCTTCCTGAATTTCCATATTTTCCTAATTTTCTACAATAAACATGTATTGTTTCAATAATAAGGAAAAAGATTACTTAAAAAGGTACAGAAAGAGAAAATGTTTTTTGTGTACATTACAATTTAATCATCACGACAACCCTGTAACATGGGTAGGAAATAAAGAGATACAAAAAGAGCTTTCTTTATACCTGAATTGTGACAAGTGAGTCCTGGCTGTATATCCTTGTCTAGTCATATCCTATGCTTCAGCGTAATTTATTTGTAAACTTGGTAATCATCAGCCTGTCTATCTGTGTCTCCTCTCTTTCAGTGTTATGGTGAAGAACAAGAAAGATTTCTTAAAATTATTGCAGTGGATTAGATAATAACAAATAAAAGTGGCCCTTCTAGGTATTAACGATTTCCCTTCCTTTCAAAGGTGATTTTAAAGATGGACCAGTTTGGAAATGGACTTGAAATTGATCAGGCTCGGCTAGGAATGTGCAGACAGCTTGGGGATGTATTCACTGAAGAGAAATTTCGTTACATGTGTATTCTTTCAGGCTGTGACTACCTCTCATCACTGCGTGGGATTGGATTAGCAAAGGCATGCAAAGTCCTAAAACTAGCCAATAATCCAGATATAGTAAAGGTAAGAGTGATCTGCCAAGTGTCCTATTCAATTTCCGAAGCATTTCCTTAATAAAATAATAAATCAGAATATGGATTTTAAATATTATGTGAATAACCTATTTTACATTATTAAAAGGAGCAAATGACAGGCACTAGAACTTTGCCTTAGCAACAAACATACATTGGAAGAATCATATTTTCTGCAGTGGACAAAAAAGTAGTGATCTTAAAAATAAAGACTGATATAAAGAGGCTCAAGAGTAAAATATTCTGGGGTAAAATTAAACTTAAAGTCTTTTGACTTATGTGCTATAACTCTGTAGTTGTGGCTCTCAAACTTTTTGGTCTCAGGATCCCTTTACGCTCCTACAGCTCTGTATAGTAATATTTTTTGTATAGGTAGGTGATAGCTATTGTTATTTACTGAATTAAAAATTTAAGCAAAAATGTAAATGTTTATCAATTTATTTAAACTCTGTAATAAACTCATTACAAATTAGCATAAATAGCATGCTTTTATGAAGAACAATCATATTTTTGAAAACAAAAATTATGAGAGAGAGGAATCATGCATGTATTTATGGAAATCTCTTTAATGTGGCCTAATAGAAGACAGCTGTGTTCATGTACAAGTTGAACATCCCTAATCCAAAAGTCTGAAATGTAAAAAAATCCAAAACTTTTTGAGCCCCAACATGGCAAGTGAGAAATTCTACACCTGATCTCATGTGAAGGGTGCACAAAATTATTCAAAATATTGTATAGAATTACTTTCAGTCTATGTGTGTAAGACTTATATGAAACATGATTTGGGTTTTTTGTCTTGTTTACCTTCTTGCTGTCAGCGTGTGGAAAGGTAAATGGATTTTATGTTTGACTTGGGCCCCATCCCCACCTCATCTCATAATGTGTATATGCAAATATTCCTAAATCTGAAAATATTCAAAATCTGAAATACTCCTGGTGCCAAGCAGTTTGGATAATGTATACCCAACCTGTATCTGCTGCCTCATTAAGTCTCATTTGATATCATGTGTCATATATCCTCTGGACAATTCTGAGACTCTGGATATCACTACTTTGCAGTTTCTCTTAAAAAATAAACATTAAAGAAGCTCATTTTCCCCCTTGGATATTCTCTAAAGCCCTTACAGTTTAGAGAGCAGAAATTCCATTTTTCTATTTCCAAGAGTACAAAGTGTAGTCCTCAGGGCTGAGGGTGACATAATGTAATGGAAAGATCTCTAGGTTGGGAGATGGTATCCCCGGTGGGAATAGGACATCTATCACTCGCCTGTGACCCCAGGATCCCTTCGGTTCTCTGGGTCTTCTGTTTTTCACCTGTGAATTTACTATGTAATATTTAGGATCCTTTCCAGCTTTAAGAATCACAGAAATCAGAATGTCAACTCGTTTTAAAAATATAATCGAAGAATATTTGGATTTTTTTAATTTTCAGATTTTGTATGTTCTTTGTTTTTTCCTTTCTTGAGAAAAAGAACTTTGAAGATGAATGAATAATGTATCTCAAAGTTACACCCAGAAAGATAAACTTGATGTATTATATAACTGTATTTTTATCCTTCAGATTAGTAATAGAAAAACCAAGGAAAGGCCAGGCACAGTAGCTCACACCTGTAATCCCAGCACTTTGGGAGGCTGAGGTGGATGGATCACCTGAGGTCAGGAGTTTGAGACCAGACTAGCCAATATGGTGAAACCCCATCTCTGCTAAAAATACAGAAATTAGCCAGGTGTGGTGGCTCATGCCTGTAATCCCAGCTACTTGGGAGGCTGAGGCAAGAGAATCACTTGAACTTGGGAGGTGGAGGTTGCAGTGAGCTGAGATCACGCCACTGCACTCCAACCTGGGGAGCAAGAGTGAAACTCCGTCTCAAAAAAGAAAAAGTAAATAAAAACCAAAGAAAATACTAGTTATGAGACTCAGAATTTTAAGTGAAATTACATGGTTGTGTTTGCTGATAGAATTGTTTTGATGTAGATGAAAGCAGTTAATGTTTCAGTCCCTCTTCATGATCCTGTAATGTAAGTCAGTTAGCCTTGAGGATAATATGTTCCCTGTTCTAGGGGGCGAGGGGTGATTTAAAAAAATCGGTGTTCCCAGTTCTTTAGTTGCAGATAAAATATTTTTGCTTGCATCGTTAGGTTATCAAGAAAATTGGACATTATCTCAAGATGAATATCACAGTACCAGAGGATTACATCAAAGGATTTATTCGAGCCAACAATACCTTCCTCTATCAGCTAGTTTTTGATCCCATCAAAAGGAAACTTATTCCTCTGAATGCCTACGAAGATGATGTTGATCCTGAAACACTGAGCTACGCTGGGCAGTATCCTTTCTGAGCCAGAATGGTAGAATTTGTGCTTTTTTCTTCAATATTTTTATGGCGATATTTTTTGTGAGGCATTTAGTAAAAAGCTTGCAAATTATTTTTTTGCTTTCTTTTTTATAGTGAACTCTGTATATTGTTCATTTAAATTACCATGCTAGTGAAAATTTGGGACAACTTTTTAAAAATTATTTATATACTTAGATGGAGTCTTGCTTTGACCCCAGGCTGAAGTGCAGTGGTGCAATCTCGGCTCGCTGCAACCTCTGCCTCCAGAGTTCAAACGATTATCCTGCCTCAGCCTCCTGAGTAGCTGGGACTACAGGCATACGGCACCACACCCTGCTAATTTTTGTATTTTCGAGATGGGGTTTCACCATGTTGGCTAGGATGGTCTTGATCTCTTGACCTCGTGATCTGCCCCTCTTAGCCTCCCAAAGTGCTAGGATTACAGGCAAGAGCCACCATGCCCAGCCCAACTTTTTGTCTGTAAACCTTAAGGCTCATCCGCTGTGCATGCTGATTATTTAGATTGACTGACAGGAGCATGCACAGGGTCTGTCACATTACAAAGGTGGCTCTTGAGAGGACCTCCTCATGGCAAGCACGATCGATTTCTCAGAGGAGCATTCTGGGCATTTGAGTGCACCAGGAGAGGATGCCCTTCTCATAGCCACTGGCCACGTGCACACAGGCTGATACAGAGCCCTGACTCCCTTAGGTGGTGGCTAGGACTTTTTCTTCCATCTCCCTTGAAAGGGGAGGAGTATGACAGCATGGGGCTTTGCTTCAGAAGACACCAACTCCTGCAGGGACCGACAGAGACAGCGAACTATGTCTGTGCTTTCAGTAATGCTGATGTGTAAAGTAAGTAGACTCCATTTAAGTTATAAACCTATGGATTTTCTGTGACAATAGAAAACATTTTTCCATCTTAGTACAGTATCATTTGGTTGATTGTTAATAAATATATTTTTCCTTAATCTTATCAACCTAGATATGTGGATGATTCCATAGCTCTTCAAATAGCACTTGGAAATAAAGATATAAATACTTTTGAACAGATCGATGACTACAATCCAGACACTGTGATGGTAACGTTTTGATGACCACCCTGTGAAAGCACATTTTAGTGATGTCTCAGGAACTGCGATTAAAGGCAAAGCTTCATAGACTAAGCATCTTTTAAGCATTTCTTTATCCAGGCTCTGTGCAGAGTGTACATTAAAAACAACTTAATCCTAGAGAAAGTACATCTGTTAGAACATATATTGGTTAATTTTTTTAAATTAGGAAGTAACTGTTATTTATGATCAAACCCTTATCCTTGAGCATTTCATTTGAATATACCAAGCATTTGATGCCTTTTTGCCTCATCTCACGCCATTCAGCTTCTGTGGCATTTGGCATCGTTAAAGACCCAAACCTAGGAACACTACGGGAGTAAAAACTTTTTTTCACTCATGCACAGTTTAACAAGTACTTGGTGCACGCCCCTGCTGTTTCTTTGAACAATTTGCTGTTTTCTTCTGCTTCGATTCTGTATGTGTCCCTCAAGATGCTGTCGCCCATCGTTCTCTTTCTCTTTGTATTTCTGTTATCCTCTGATCTCTTTTCTGTTTACATTTCTTCCGTAGGTAAGTCCTTAGGGCTTTAATCCCATTTACGCAAAGAACTCAGGCCTCCATCTTTACTCCAGTCTCTTGCCTGTGCACCAACCATGGAATTCTCGCTGTCCCTTGCATCTCTGATTTCCTGTAGCCTCAAGTCTATTCATAGGCAAATAACATTTCTCTTTTATATTTCTACTTAACAACTATTACTGTATAACAATATGATTCTATTCTGATTATTTCCAATAGAATGTGGTCTTCATAAAGGCAGAACTTTGTGATCTTCATGGTTGTATGATATTTACTGTGTAAATATCATTCATTATGCTGAATGAGTGAATGTCAGCTACAGGTCTTTTGTTCTCTGAGACTGGAAAACTTGGAAGTAAACTTTGGCTTCCATTTCGTTCCTGCATCCTCTTGCCTCTTTGAGCTGGCCCTCTGGTTAACATTTTCTTCTTTTCTGTAGCTTCCAGTCTAATTCTTGCTCACTAATTTATTCCTTTACTCAGCATTTATCAAGCACTGTAGAAGTGTAGTTAGGTTAGCTGGGGTTCTGGACTATGAAGAAAAATAAGAAATATGGGAAAAATAAGATCCTGGCCTGTCAAATGCCCATTGCCTAAATAGGAAGGAGATGGGATTATATAGAGAGAAACATGGTAAGTGCTATACTAAAGATGTGTTCTAGGCTCCGTGGAATCAAAAATGTCCCTCACTCCACCTAAGAGAATGCTCCAGCATAGTAATGGCAAACATCTGAGCATTTGCTATGTTCCAGGTAGACATGGTAACTCATTTACTCTTCGGAAAGCCTCTGAAGTCAGTACCGTATCATTTTACAGATGAGGAAACAGTTAGAGGACGCCTAGGTAACTTGCCCAGCTCACCATTTTAATAAATAGGGGAGCTGTGATTCCAAGCCAAGCTCTCTACTGTCTGCTCGAAGAGAAACCGATGCGTATCCTCAGTTTGCGAGGATTAGCAGAGTTTTTCAAGATGAGTAAGTGATTCCAGGCTTTAAAAAAAAAAACAGCATATGTAGAGAAAAGTGATGTGTTAAGGGAACTTAATATGTAAAAGTGATATATTAAGGTTGTTCATGATGGCTGGACTAAGAGTGTCTTAGTGTTTACCATGTAAAGGATCCAGATCTTGATAAAGAAAAGAAGTAAGCCTGGAAAAGAAGACCACTAACAAACTGGTGACCCGTTGAGGACCGAAAAGTAACCATTACTCTGAGCTGAAATAAGCCCAGCCTACCAAGAGAGCAAATCCATGACGCTGAAAATGAACTTTATCAGCTCCAGTTATGTAACCCTTACACTCAGTTGCTATTTCCCTATTTTCTGACCTTGCCCCGTATCGTACAGTACCCACCATCCATGTGTGGCTATGTAAATTTGCTAAATAAAATGCCTGTTTTAGTTCTCCATTTATAGTAGCCACCTTTCAGGTGCTCAGTGGTTAGTGGCTATAACATACTGGACAGCATGGAGCTTTTCTATCTGTGCAGGAAATTCTGTTGAATTTTTACTTCTACTATCGTATTTTTATATCTAGGGACTCTTTAATTGTACTTTTTAGGGGCCGGGCGTGGTGGCTCATGCCTGTAATCCCAGCACTTTGGGAGGCCGAGGCAGGTGGATCACGAGGTCAAGAGATCGAGACCATCCTGGTCAACATGGTGAAACTCCATCTCTACTAAAAATACAAAAAATTAGCTGGGCATGGTGGCACGTGCCTGTAATCCCAGCTACTCGGGAGGCTGAGGCAGGAGAATTGCCTGAACCCAGGAGGCGGAGGTTGCGGTGAGCTGAGATCGCGCCATTGCACTCCAGCCTGGGTAACAAGAGCAAAACTCCGTCTCAAAAAAAAAAAAAAATTGTACTTTTTTTTTTTTGAAGATTTGGATGCCATCTGTTATCTTTCTCTCTCAGACTATGATAATTTTTTGGACATTTTTTTCTGCTCTCTAACTGCTGTGTATTTTTTTCCCGTGTTGGTATTTTCTCCCTCATGGTGGTAACTTCTGTCCAGTCATATTTGAAGGGGCACTGGAAAGCTCAGGAAGCATTGTGTGAATGCGGGGCTTTTTATATTGGACTTCGTTCTTGGGTGACGTCATTGGTAACACATTGGACTTGATGTGTGAATTCTCCCAATGTTGGAATGTTCTCTGCACAGTTACATTTTTCCAAAAAGAAACGTCTGCTTAGGGTGGCTAAACTTTGGCTCTCTGTATTTCAAGAGCAGGATAGGGAAAGTGAGTTGGGGCAGGCCAGGACGGGCCTTGCCATTCACTATTTAGCCTTTTGTTTAATCTCTGTTTTCAGACAAATGAATCTCTCTACTTTCAGAAATGCCTGCTACGTCTGTTACTCTTTCTGGGTTTCAGAAGTTCAGTTGTTCTAGTTCTGAAGGCAGGTAGATCGTTTGTTGACTGTCTGGTCAGGTTGGGGATGGGGGCATGGGGGTCAAATAATTCTCTCTTTAGTCATCTCCCAGCAGTGGCTCCTGTAATGCCAAGGCTTTAATTCTTTACTCCAGCCACAGAATTCTCACTGTCCCTTGCATCTCTGTTTTCCTGTCAAGTTTATTCATAGGCAAAACTAAACAGATTCATTTTATAAATCAACTTTTAATAGCATTTCTCTTATTTTTCTACTTAGCACTTATTACTATGTAACATTATGCTTCTATTCTTTTCTGATTCTTTCCAATAGAATGTGGACTTCATATAAGACACATTTAATGGAAAAGTATAGGACCAGCAGAGTAGGAAATGTAATTCAAGGACAGGTATTTATTTCATCAAATGCTGTTATATTTAAGGGTAACTTAATATTTGTAATTTATGTTGATACAGAAGGAAAAAAATTGATAATTTTCTTTTTGCAAATAACCTTTTTCCTTTTCCTTTTTTAGCCTGCCCATTCAAGAAGTCATAGTTGGGATGACAAAACATGTCAAAAATCAGTTAATGTTCGTAGCATTTGGCATAAGAATTACTGTCCTAGACCAGAGTCGGGTGTTGTTTCTGAGGCTACAAGATTGAAGCAGAATCCAAGTACTGTGGGAGTTGAACGAGTGATTAGTACTAATGGGTTAAATCTTCCAAGGAAATCATCTGTTATGAAAAGACCAAGAAGTGGTATGTATGTCAGTTTTGCAAAATGCTGGTGAATATTGGTCATATTTAAGACATCATTGCCAGGCCACATGCGGTGGCTTACTCCTATAATCCCAGCACTTTGGGAGGCTGAGGTGAGCAGATCCCCTGAGGTCAGGAGTTCGAGATCAGGCTGATCAACATGGAGAAACCCCATCTCTACTACAACATACCTATAATCTCATCTTCTTGGGAGGCTGAAGCAGGAGAATTGCTTGAACCCAGGAGGCGGAGTTTATAGTGAGCTGAGATCATGCCATTGCATTCCAGCCTGGGCAACAAGAGTGAAACTCCATCTAGGAAAAAAAAAATTAGCTGAGCTTGGTTGTGGGTGCATGTAATCCCAGATACTCAGGAGGCTGAGGGAAGAGAATCGTGTGAACCTGAGGGGTGGAGGTTGCTGTGAGCCAAGATTGTGCCTGGGCAACAAGAGCAAGACTCCTCAAAAAAAAAAAAACACTGCCAAACGCAAAGTCACTAATATTCCCTCCTGTTTTCTTCTAGAAGTTTTATAGTTGTATTAGTCCATTTTCACACTGCTGATAAAGACATACCTGAGACTGGGCAATTTACAAAAGAAGGAGGTTTAACAGATACACAGTTTCACGTGGCTGAGGAGGCCTCAGAATTATGGTGGAAGGTGAAAGGCACTTCTTACATGGTGGCAGACAAGAGTGAGAGCCAAGCAGAAGGGGTTTCCCTTTATAAAACCATCAGATCTCATGAGACTTATTCGTTAGCACAAGAACTGTATGGGGGGAAAAATGCCACCATGATTCAGTTATCTCCCACCAGGTCCCTCCCACAACACATAGGAATTATGGGAGATAGAAACAAGATGAGATTTGGGTGAGGATACAGCTAAAATATATCAGTGGTTTTAGCTCTTAAATTTTACAGTTTTAGCCTGTGAACCATTTTCAGTTGAGTTTTTTTATATGATGTAACATAGGATTATGGCTTTTTATTTTTTTCCTTGTATATGTGGCCATACAGTTATTCCAGGACTCTTTGTCAAAAAGTTTTCCTTTCCTCATTTAATTGCCTTGGCAGATCTCTGCAAAACCAGCTGACCACATGTATGTGGATCTTTTTCTGAACTCTGTTATTCTATACCACTGCTCTCCTTACCTATTTTTACATCGGACACACTCTTGGTTACTGTGGCTTTACAGGAACTCTTGAAGTGGGGCAGTAGAAGTCTCTTAAGTTTATTTTCTTCTGAAAACTTGTTTTGTCTCTTCTGTTTTTCACATTTTACATTTAAGAATTTAGCTTACTAATTTCTAAAAAAATGACCAGGGATGGTGGTTTGCACCTGTAATTGCAAGGTTTGGGGGGGGCCAAGGCGGGTGGATTGCTTGAGCCCAGGAGTTCAAGACCACCTTTGCCCCAACATACTGAGACCCTGTCTCTACAAAAAAATTTTTAAGGCTGGGTGTGGTGGTTCACACCTGTAATCTCATCATTTGGGGAGGCCAAGGCAAGCAGATCGCTTGAAGTCAGGAGTTCCAGACCAGCCTGGCCAACATGGCAAAACCCCATCTCTACTAAAAATACAAAAAATTAGCCAGACATGGTGGTCCATGTCTTAATCGCAGCTGCTTGGGAGTCTGAGACAGGAGAATCGCATGAACCCAGAAGGCAGAGGTTGCACTGAGCCGAGATCATGCCACTGCACCCCAGCCTGGGTGGCAGAGTGAGACTGTTCCCCCCAAAAACAATAAAAATAAAAAGTCTATTGAGATGTAGTTGAATCCATACATCAATTTGGAGAAAGTTTACATTTTAACAATACTGAATTTTCTGATTTATTTATTTAAATCTTTAATATAGCTGGGTGTGGTGGCTTGCACCTGTAATCCCAGCACTTTAGGAGGCTGAGGCAGCTGGATTATGAGGTCAGGAGATCGAGACCATCCTGGCCTACATGGTAAAACCCCATCTATACTAAAATACAAAAAATTAGCCAGGTATGGTGGCGCATGCCTGTAGTCCCAGCTACTCCGAAGGCTGCGGCAGGGGAATCACTTGAACTTGGGAGGCGGAGACTGCAGTAAGCCGAGATCACATCACTGCACTCCAGCCTGGCAACAGAGGGAGACTCTCTCTCAAATAAATAAATAATAAATAAAATCTTTAATGCTTTGTAGTTTTTATTGTACAGATCTTAACATCGGTCAAATTTATCTTTATAATTCCGATTTTTGATGAGAATACTATAAATAGTATTCGATGAAAATACTATAAATAGTACTTTCAGTTTTTTCTAGTTGCTCATTATTGGTATATAGAAATACTGTTGATTTTTGTACATTAATCATATACTTTGCAGCTTTGCTCACATCACATATTCTAGTATCTCTTTCGTAGACTACCTAGGATTTTTGACATAAAGGACTGTGTCATCTATGAATAAAGACAATCTTGCTTCTCCTCTTCCAGTTTAAATACCTTTTATTTCTTTTTCTTAGTATAAGAGTCTAAGCTTGTTTTCTTTGGAACTGCCTGATTTCAAGATTTCCTGTAAGCCACAGTGTGTGGTGTGAGATAGGTGAGGAGAGCAATGGTACAGAATGTTAACGGAGTTCAGAAAAATTTCCACATATATATGGTCAGCTGGTTTTGAACAGATGTGCCAAGGCAGTTAGATGGGGAAAGGAAACTTGAATCTCTAGTATAATACAGAACAGAAGTGCTGAGAGTAATATGCTAGGGATTGGGAAAAGATGGAAGTTTTTCAGCATAGAGGATGTTTCAGATGGAAAGAACGATTGTACTTGCTTCCTTCTCTGAAATTCTTCCCTCTCACATCTACATCAGTGAATGAAATAGCAACAATAAAAACAAAGACTTGCAAATTGTAGTTCATGCTTCTATTTTTCAAATTTAAGTATAGATTATACATATTTGGCTGGAATACCCTGATTCCTTATGAACCTAACTTTGTTTCTTCGTATGAAATAAAAGGTTTTTTGTATATGTTATATAAGACAACATATACTTGTTATATAACAAAGTACACTGTACATGTGCTTTCATTTTCTTCTCCTGAAATGGAGAGCAATCAAGATAGGCTGTCCATTTCCTGTAGATAGCTTACTATCAGCAAGTTTGCAAGTATACTCTAGTATATTACTCTATAATACCTAGTATATTATGCCAGGCTAAGTCTACTTTTTTATAACTACAGCTTAGCAATAGATTTTTGTCCCCTTGCTACACACACAAACACAAAAACAAAACAAAAAACTAGAGTAAGTTGAATCCCTATTTTATGTATCAGCCCTTCAGATGATTTAAAGGTAGCCATTGCGACACTCCTAAATTTCTCTTCCAGGATATATGTTTCTTGGCTATTCAGGTTGTGCTCAGGATGTAATACAGGTTTTCAATAATTGTGTAATTGTTACAGTGAGTACGATTATTGAAATGTGATCTGCTTACCACAGAATACATACTTAGAACTGTGGCACTATTTCAGTCCTGTGCTTTTATTATTGCAAACTAAGATTGCATTAACGTCCTTGCAATCTGGCATTTTGCTGGAATTTGCTGAGTTTATAATTGATATTTGCCAGTTGCTGTTAGGTATAGTTACATTGTAATCTTAAATGTGGGTTAACTCATTCCTCTTACGGTAATCTTACTTGATTTTAGTTCATTGTTTTGCCTGTTAGTTTTTTTTGTTTGAATCTTTGTATTTTCTAGTATATGGGTATTATCTATGTCATCTGGAAATTGATGCGTCTTAAAGTTTTGGTTTCAGCGTGTTTGCTTATACAATGTTTAACTGAAACGGAGCAAGTACAGAACTCTGGAGTACATAAGACAGACTTCCTTTTGACTCACAGCTGCCAGTAGTCTTTTAGGGCTGAGCATCTTGCTGCAAATCCCTGTAACTAATTACAGTAGATATTGCTCTACATTCTCTGCTAGAATGATATGTGGGACACTCAAGTGTCTTGCCAAATTCAAGATATGCTTCATTTATGGAGTCTCCCAAACAGCTATGCTAATAGCCATATTGTTTTTCTTATTGAAAAAAAAAAAAAAAGAGGTTAATCTGGTTTGGCTTCTAAAAGCCTAGTTGGGGACCCTAGAATACTTTTTATTTTTCCTTTTTTCAACCCCACCACCGAACACTTGTTTTTCTTCTTCTGTCATGACTCACAATTCCCTGCGTAATAAACAGATTTGACTTTTGGCCAGGAATCAAAATCTCTTGCCGATACAGCTTTTTAAAAATCTGTGCCTTTTAAAAATTTGAGGCATCTCGTTTCTGGTGTTTTGGTAGCCCCAACATATCTTACCAGTTTCATAAAGATTACAGTAGTGTGTACTTACACACTCCTGTGAAGAAGAAGCTGTTCACACTAAGTAATTCAAAGAACTTTAGTGCTATCTCTTTGTACTTACCTATCCCAGATTTTAAACTTGGGTTATTATTTTATCTTGTGATTTATTTTTTTATAAGATGGGGTTTCACTATGATGGCCAGGCTGGTTTTGAACTCCTGACCTCAGGTGATCCACCCACCTCGACCTCCCAAAGTGCTAGGATTACAGGCGTGAGCCATTGTTCCCGGCCTTTCTTGTGATTTATTTTAATATACAGAGTATATCTGACACAACAGCAATCTTCCTGGGGCTCATAGTGAAGTGATGAAGATCAGAGCTATAGCACAAATTATGTGACAGTCCCAATATACATCAAAAACCAGAACACTCTTAGTCCATTTTGTCCTGCTAAAGAAAAGAAAGAAAAGAAAATCAAAATTTAAAGATTAAAAATTAAAATTAAAAAAACACATAAATCATATGTATCAATAGCTGCCGGTTTTATTGGAACATTTAAATAATTTATCATTAACCATATAGTTACATATACATTTTCCTGGATATTTTTTAATATTCAAAATTAGACCCTTAGTATAATAAATATATTGCCACACAGGATTGATTGTGCTCTGAAATTTTGGTTTGGGTAATTTTCATATGAAATTGTATAAAGAATTGATATGAAATCTTAAAGTAATGTGTGAAATTATGAAACAGCTAAGGGAATTTTTTTAAATCATGCTTGTGTTTTCCTTTATGAGGCATAGTTTAAAAAAAAAGTCCTTATTTTTAGGACAATGGAATACAGACTAAAGTCAAGGCCAAATCTCTAAGTACAAGCGAAACAAAGATTTACAGATAATTTTGTTTTTATTTAGAAGAGCTGTCAGAAGATGATCTGCTGAGTCAGTATTCTCTTTCATTTACGAAGAAGACCAAGAAAAATAGCCGTGAAGGTGATAAATCACTGAGCTCTTCAGAAGTGTTTGTGCCTGACCTGGTAGATGGACCTGCTAACAAAAAGAGCTTAAGCACTCCACCTAGGACAAGAAATAAATTTGCAACATTTTTACAGAGGAAAAATGAAGAAAGTGGTGCAGTTGTGGTTCCAGGGACCAGAAGCAGGTATGAGTCATGTCTCCAGAATGTTGACTGTCTGTTGTATTATGTATTCTGTTGGTATTCACTCTGTCTTGAATGAACATTGAGTCTAGAGGGAAGCAGGTATAGAACCTGCCTTAATCTGATGACAGTTTTATCATGTATTGTCTCAGTTCTGACATAAATCCCCTCAACTTCTATTACTTTTGTAATCTCTTCATACAGAATCAAAATAAAAGAGGATTATAGCCTCTGTTGTTCATTTTGCATTACAGAAATTCTGTTATTTGGGGAGTTCCCATCCTCTTCTTTTTCCTTTCTACTTTTTTGGTTTCTTTTGAGGGCTTAATACAATTTTACAAAGTATTTTCAGAAATATATTCTAATGTGGATGACTCTGGAGCTGTCATATTAACTGAGAAGCTGACGCCATGCTAGGTGCTATAGTTCAAAAATGAGAAAGACATTGTTTTTGTTTTTGAGAAGCTTGTATTTCAGTTGGAAAAACAAGTACATAAACAGAAATCTTTTCATACAGTATGGTGAGTACAGAGATAAAGGCATGAATACGGTGTTTTCAGGGCGTTCAAGGGGCATCTAATGCTGGGGCAGTGGTTGGAAAGGGTGAGAGAGAAGGGATGAGTGTTGGATGTCCCTGTCTAGGTTTAAATGACAGGTGAAGCAGGAAAAGACTGATGCCAAGTACCTTCCCAGTAGAGTCAGACAGCTTGAGCAAAGGCATAAAGATGGGGAGCAGCACGGGGTCCAGGACAACTGCTTGCTGTCCATCAGTGCTGTGAGGACCTCTGCCGGAATTCAAGCTGGGGAAAGGTAGGCGGTGAGGGAGTAGAAATAGGCAGGAGACCTCTCATTGAAGGCTTATGCCAAGATGGGAACTTGTAATCTTCCTTAGAGGCGATAGAAACATTGAGAGGGTCGCCAGCATGGTGGCTCACGCCTGTAATCCCAGCACTTTGAGAGGCCAAGGTGGGTGGATCACCTGAGTTCAGGAGATCAAGACCAGCCCAGGTGAAACGGTGAAACCCTGTCCTTACTCAAAGTACAAAAATTAGCTGGGCATGGTGGTGGGTACCTGTGGTCCCAGCTACTTGGGAGGCTGAGGCACGAGAATCGCTTGAACCTAGCAGGAGGTTGCAATGAGCCATCACGCCACTGCAGGCCAGCCTGGGTAAGACAGAGCAAGACTCCATCTCCAGAATACAAAAAAGAAAAGAAAAACTTTGAGAGGGTTTTAATCAGGGGAGGTGTGTGATTTGGTTCCTGTTTTAGAGTGACCACTCTGTGTGCCCTGTGGAGAGTGGATTCGAAAGGACCACAAGTGGGGTGCAAAGATCAGTCAGGCTGTTGCCATAGTCCCTGGGAGCAATAATGAGACTTTGAAGAGTCAGTTTAATTTGGGGATTAGGAATTTCGATGCTGGAGTCAGGCTTCCCGGATTTGAATCCTGTTGTGTTCATTATGAGATGTGTGATTTGGCAAGTTAACTTCTGGGTGCTTCAGTTTTCTCCTTTTAAAAACCGGGGATAACAATGATAACAGCCTTAGGGCCAATGAGAGAATTAAATGAGTTACCTTATAGATAGATGATAAACATACGGTGAAAGGTGCCTTACAGATAGATGACAGACATACGGTGAAAGGTGCCTTACAGATAGATGACAGACATACTGTGAAAGGTGCCTTACAGATAGATGACAGACATACGGTGAAAGGTGCCTTACAGATAGATGACAGACATACGGTGAAAGGTGCCTTACAGATAGATGACAGACATACGGTGAAAGGTGCCTTACAGATAGATGACAGACATACGGTGAAAGGTGCCTTACAGATAGATGACAGACATACGGTGAAAGGTGCCTTACAGATAGATGACAGACATACGGTGAAAGGTGCCTTACAGATAGATGACAGACATACTGTGAAGGTGCCTTACAGATAGATGACAGACATACGGTGAAAGGTGCCTTACAGATAGATGACAGACATACGGTGAAAGGTGCCTTACAGATAGATGACAGACATACGGTGAAAGGTGCCTTACAGATAGATGACAGACATACTGTGAAAGGTGCCTTACAGATAGATGACAGACATACAGTGAATAACTCCTACTGTGTTGACTTTGGATGGTGGTGCCACAACATGAGAAAGGAAATGAAGTGTCAGAAGTGATTTAGGCATGATAGGGCAAAAAACAGTAAGAGAAAAAGTTACCAGCCCCTGCATTCCACTAGAAGACTTTGAATTAATAGTCTTTGTTTGTTTTTCAAGTTATTTATTTTTATTTGAAATGGAATTCTGCTCGTGTCACCCAGGCTGGAGTGCAGTGGCATGATCATGGCTCACTGCAGCCTCCACCTTCCGGGTTCAAGCAATTCTCCTGCCTCAGCCTCCCAAGTAGCTGGGATTACAGGCACCTGCTACCACGCCCAGCTAGTTTTAATGTTTTTAGTAGAAACAGGGTTTCATCATGTTGGCCAGGCTGATCTCAAGCTCCTGACCTCAAGTGATCTACCCGCCTTGGCCTCTCAAAGTGCTGGGGTTGCAGGTATGAGCCACTGCACCCAGTCTGTTTTTCAAGTTTAGTTAATCAGGCTGCAGTCAGCTTTGTCTAACCATGATGGTGGGAGATGAGCGTGAAGGAATGAAGCACTGGTGGTTTCTCAGTCTCACCTCAGGTGATGTTTCAAACCCTTACCCCATCGAGTCTTCTCAAGGAAACAGTTGAGATACAATATGATTAAATGATGTTTTGATTCATCTTTTGCTAGTCGCCCTCATTAAAGGTGCTTGCTAACAGTGGAGTGATGAAAATTGGCCACAAAAGATGGAACACAGTGCTCTAGCTAATACACACTGATTAAAACATTGACTTCTCTCCCTTGGAAGTTTTTCTGGCTTGGTTTTATTTTTCCGCTGGGGTGAGAGTAGAGTTTCCCTGTGCTGCTGCTTCATGTTGAACTCTTCTTTGGAGACAACAAATGAGACTATGTGTCTCTACAGGGCTTGCCTATTTAGTCATGGTAGAAGCTAAAGGAACTCCTCAAGTTCGAGACAGTACATCATTGCTTTACGTCGTTTAGATGTTTCACTAGTAACTTGTTCAGAGGGTGCATTAACAGGTACCTAGAGAAATAATCTTGTTCTCTATCAGCTTTCTGTGAAATAATTATCGGGAGTAAGTCTTTGGTGTATTATTTTCTGGCCTATGTTATATAGCAACATCTAATAATGACTAGATAGGGCCAGGCACGGTGGCTCACACCTGTAATTTCAGCACTTCGGGAGGCCAAGGTAGGGGGATCACCTGAGGTCAAGAGTTTGAGACCAGCCTGGCCAACATAGTGAAACCCCGTCTCTACTAAAAATACAAACATTAGCTGTGTGTGGTGGCGGGCGCCTGTAATCCCAACTTCTCGGGGTGGGGTGTAGGGACTGAGGCAGGAGAATAGCTTGAACCCAGGAGGAGGAGGTTGCAGAGAGTCGAGATCACACCCCTGCACTCCAGCCTGGGTGACAGAACGAGAATCCATCTGAAAAAAAAATTTTTTTTTAATTAACTAGATATTATTAAATTAGTTTTCAAAGTTCATTTTCAAAGTAATTTTACATGTTTTGCTATTTCACACATTATTATGAAATACACAGGATTGAGGCTGTCTTCACTATGTGGGGTTAAGAGACTGAGGCTCTGAGCGGTTAAGTGTTCCCAGGGTTGTATAGTTAGTACTGTTGATAGGAAGATTCCTAGTCACAGACGTAATGGATTGGAAGCAGCATACAATCCAATAGGCCTGCATTTGAATTTAAGAACTCCTATCAGCCAATTGGAAGGAAGTAGCCAAGAGCTGGGAAGGTTCCGAGTTTTAATTCTGTTCATTAGCTGATTCATTTTATAACCCTAGGCCTCGTCACTATAACTCCTCTCTACCTGTGAAACAATACCTCGGACAACAGTTGGGCAGCATAGGAATTACTGTTTATTTAAAAATGAATTTGCAGTTACATCTAGGAGCTCATGTTTTCTGCTCACTGAAAGCCTGGTATGAGCTTTTCTTCCATATGCTGCTTCCTGCCCCCTCCCCATACAGCTGATCTAGGGATTTGGTGAAAGGATAGAAAGGATTTTTACTCTCTAGCATTTAGTAAATATTCTGTTCATTATCTTGGATTTGAACTAATGCTTATTAAGGAGGTAAATTCTCTTGAAGTTTTATATTTATCTGATCATGTACACTAGGATTTTTTTTAAACCTAAAAACTCTCCTTGAATAAATCCTCCCCAATAATAATGTTGATCTTTCATTTTTATTGGAATGCTTTTTTTTTTTTAAAGCTGCTATACTGAATAAGTAATACTTCTTTAGAAATAGGGAACCAACCCAAATGCCCATCGATGATAGACTGGACTGAGAAAATGTGGCACATATACACCATGGAATATTATGCAGCAGTAAAAAATGATGAGTTCGTGTCCTTTGTAGGGACATGAATGAATCTGGAGAACATCATTCTCAGCAAACTGACACAAGAACAGAAAATGAAATACCGCATATTCTCACTCATAGGCGGGTGATGAAAAATGAGAACACATGGACACAGGGAAGGGAGTACTACACACTGGGGTCTATTGGGGGGGAATAGGGGAGGGACAGCGGGGGGGGGGAGCTGGGGAGGGATAGCCTGGGGAGAAATGCCAAATGTGGGTAAAGGGGAGGAAGGCAGCAAAACACACTGCCACGTGTGTACCTATGCAACTGTCTTGCATGTTCTGTACATGTACCCCAAAACCTAAAATGCAAAAAAAAAAAACAAATAGGGAATTTTTTTATTGTGTTTTAGGTTTTGGGGTACATGTGAAGGACATGCAAGATTATTGCATAGGTACACACATGGCAGTGTGATTTGCTGCCTTCCTCCCCATCACCTATATCTGGCATATACCCCCATGCTATCTCTCCCCAACTCCCCACCCCCTGCTGTTCCTCCCCTCTTTCCCTCCGACAGACCCCAGTGTATGATGCTCCCCTACTTGTGTCCATGTGTTCTCGTTCAACACCTATGAGTGAGAACATGCGGTGTTTGATTTTCTGTTCTTGTGTCAGTTTGCTGAGAATGATGGTTTCCAGGTTCATCCATGTCTCTACAAAGGACACGAACTCATCGTTTTTTGATGGCTGCATAATATTCCATGGTGTATATGTGCCACATTTTCCCAGTCCAGTCTATCATATATGGGCATTTGGGTTAGTTGATTTGAAAGAAAGTCTTAACCTCTATATTTAAAAGAGTATAGAAGTTTATAGGGTACATTAATCTACTACGAGTTCCCAGATGATATAACACTAGGAGCAAAGCTAAGGTGAAGGGTAAATGGCTAATTTCTGCGGTGGTTTTTTTTTTTTTTTTTTTTGAGATGGAATTTAGCTCTTGTTGCCCAGGCCGGAGTGCAATGACATGATCTAGGCTCACTGCAACCTCCACCTCCCAGGTTCAAGTGATTGTTTTGCCTCAGCCTCCCAAGTAGCTGGGAGTACAGGCATGTGCCACCATGCCTGGCTAATTTTGTATTTGTTTTTTAGTAGAGATGGGGTTTCTCCATGTTGGTCAGGCTGGTCGTGAATTACCAACCTCAGGTGATCCACCCACCTCAGCCTCCCAAAGAGCTGGGATTACAGGCATGAGCCACCACACCCAACCCTAAATGGCTAATTTCTTTAATTTTGCTTCCTACAAAATATGAGTGAATGGTTGTAAATTGTCCTTTTGGTTGTGTATTTCCATATCTGTTCATATGTTTGACCATCAGCCATGTTTTAGCCCCATCCTAGGTACTGTGGAAGATACAAAGACGTGGGAAGTACCTGCCCTCAAGGAGTTTGCTATTTGGGAATTTAAAAATTTAGGGAAAGAACACCTACCTATATGATAATTAGGTATAAAATACAGAAGTTCCAAATACATGTGTATATAGATGAATGCTTTTAGAAACTCCTGTCTAAAAAATTCATTGTATAAAGAAATTTTTAAATGTGTGAGTGTTGGCATAATCAAAATTTGAATTTTGACTAAAATTTGCATGCCTCTATGAAATTTTGTATTTATGAGGCTTTTTTCAAAAAGAAGCTATTCTATTTTGAATCTTGATTACCCTTTGAGAAAACTCTAAAATACTTACACTTATTTATTCTTTCTGCTGCTGTTTTTCTGTTAGGTTTTTTTGCAGTTCTCCAAATTCCATTGACTCTGTATCAAACAAAGTGAGCTGCCTGCCTCTGGATGGAACTGCTGTCACAGTTAGAGAAAACAGTCTGCATGAATCAGATTATCGAGACCAGGAAGGCGAGGGACAGTTTGACACAAATGTAACATATAATTCAAGTGATGATCTTCCAAGTGATGACATTCCAAGTGATCACATTCCAAGTGATGACATTCCAGACAAGGCAACAGTGCTTACAGATAAAGAGTCCTCCTCTTTCCAGAGAAGCAGATTCACAAGGACCATTTCACCACCCACTTTGGGAACACTAAGAAGTTGTTTTAGTTGGACTGGAGGTCTTGGAGATTTTTCAGGAACACCGAGCCCCTCTCTGAGCACAGCACTGCAGCAGTTTCAAAGAAAGAGCAACTCCCCCACCTCTCTGCCTGAGAATAATATGTCTGACGTGCCTCAGTTAAAGAGCTACGAGTCCAGTGATGATGAGTCCCATCCCTCACGAGAAGGGGCCTGTTCTTCACAGTCCCAGCAAAGTGGAGAATTATCACTGCAGAGTTCAAACACATCAAAGCTTTCTCAGTCCTCTAGTAAGGACTCTGATTCCGAGGTAAGTCAAATTGTGAAGGCTTTGTTTTCAAATTTATATGTAAGAGAAAATGGGGTGTTACTCAAATAATTGAGGAAATTTTTCCTACATGTAAATTACTGGCTATATTAATTTTTCATTCTAAATTCTATGCAGAAAGTTCACATTTTATTCATTTGAAGGTATCTTCTCTGTATCTTTCACATTTTGAACTCTGATATATTTAACTCTGTGTATTTCCTGAATCACTGTGTGTTCCATTGATGGGTAACTCAAGGTGTGCCACAGTTAAGACCTAGGCAGAATGGTAATCTGTGAAATGAAAAGTAATTATAAATTTGCTGTTTAAATCCTTAATATACTCTTGAATTCAGATAATGTTTAAGACCTTATAAGGGGCCAGGTGTGGTGGGAGGCTGTGGAGTGGATCAGTTGAGATCAGCCTGGCCAATGTGTTAAGAGTTTCTGTAAGGTATAATACAAGTTAATGGAGTGCTTTTTGCTATTGGGTTTTTTAAGTATGTAATACTGGGTAGCATCCCAAGATAAAAGTATGAGCATCCCACATTAAACCTTTTGGAAAAATGCAGAAATGTAAACTCTTCTGAGTTTCCATTCATTGCTATCTTCTTTTTTTTTTTTTTTTTTTTTTTTTTGAGATGCAGTCTGCTCTATTGCCTAGGCTGGAGTACAGTGGCATGATCTTGGCTCACTGCAACCTCCACCTGCCAAGTTCAGGCAATTCTCCCATCTCAGCCTCCCAGTTAGCTGGGATGACAGGCATGTGCCATCACACCTGGCTAATTTTTGTATTTTTAGTAGAGACGGTGTCTCGCCATGTTGGCTAGGCTGGTCTCAAACTCCTGACCTCAGGTGATCTACCTGCCTTGGCCTCCCAAAGGGCTGGGATTACAGACGTGAGCCACCACACCTGGCCTCATTGTCCTCTTTTACTTGATTTTCCTGGGAATGCATATTATAAGAGAACTCTCCATCTATAGAAAAGTCTTAACTGATAGAATAGGGGGTAGAGGGTCGACCTGAAAGTCATTGCTAAAGGTAAAGTGCATTGAGTACAATACTACTACACTTGAAAGTGGATGCCTTTTTTTCTCTTTAAAGTTGCATATGTTACATGATTAAAAGAAGAGATGGCTCTCCAACAGTTCAACTTTTTTTAGCTAGTAAGATGAAAACTGTTAGTCAAATATTTGTAGCGCAACATTTTTACAGTAGGAGACTCTTGTTTTATCGGCATTTTGATATCCTCTTCTAATAGTTCAGAAAAACCTTCCATTTTAAATAGATATTTTATGTAATTTACCTCTCCAGCTGAAGCATCTTGTTAGCTTCTTCAATGAAATTGGCAAACATCATCTTTTCCATATTAGATTCATTTTCTTTTATTAATTCTATCCCATGTTCTTAATTATTTTCCATTTTGTTGAATATTGGTTTGTTGCCATAAAAGTTCTATAGTAAAAAATCTAATTTTATTTTATTTTTTTGATTTGGGGACTCTAGGAATCTGATTGCAATATTAAGTTATTTGACAGTCAAGGTGACCAGACTTCCAAGCTACATTTATCTCATTTTTCAAAAAAAGACACCCTTCTAAGGAACAAGGTAAAACATTTGTTTAATTTTTTTTTTTAATTTTAGAAGCAGCGTATGCTTACTACTAGAAAATGAGAAGTACAAGCAGAATTAAAAATCAAAATACCTGTCGTATCATTTATATAAAAATGTCGGCCGGGCGTGGTGGCTCACACCTGTAATCCAAGCACTTTGGAGGCCAAGGCGGGCGAATCACCTGAGGTCGGGAGTTCAAGACCAGCCTGACCAACATGGTGAAACCCCCTCTTAAAAATATATATAAATAAATAAACAAACAAACAAAAATGTGTACTTTAAAACTTCCTAGGACCATGTTTGTGCTTGACTATAGGTGTTTAAGTTGTGAAACTTGTTTTCTCTTGCAGCGTATATGAAAGGTTCTTTTCCATGTACTTTTAGTCATTACTTGTAATGACTTTATAATATGCAATTGTATAGCTTTGGCCAATCGCCTTATTTTTGTCATTTACCCTAAAATTTTTTTGCTCTAGCAAATAATACTGCAACCAAGATCTTGTAGATAAATATTTGAGGACATATTCTTGATTAGTTTTTAAGGATGACCATGGAGTGGTATTATGGTCCCAAGGCATGTGTGATTTAACATTGATACATACTGCATAAAGGCCTTCTAGAAACTGTGTATCCATAAGCTAGGTTTTTTAAATCAAAATATGTAAATATTTGTGTTACTACATAGTAAAGCATATTTTATATATTAAGCACACATTAAAGCATATTTTATGTATTAAGTGTTCTTGTTCATCAGTGTAAAAACACTATTTCCTAACTCAAAAAATGGATAAAGGTCATAAACACGTCACAAAAGAAAAAGTACAAATGATTGATTAATATATGTTTTTTCTTTTGAGATAGAGTCTCACTGTCACCAGGCTGGAATGCAGTGGCACAATCTCGGCTCACTGCAACCTCCACTTCCCGGGTTCAACCAATTCTCCTGGCTCAGCCTCCTGAGTAGCTGGGACTACAGGCGCATACCACCATGCCTGGCTAATTTTTTTTTGTTTCTTTGAGACTGAGTTTCGCTTTTGTTACCCAGGCTGGAGTGCAATGGCGCGATCTTGGCTCACCGCAACCTCCGCCTCCTGGGTTCAAGCAATTCTCCTGCCTCAGCCTCCTGAGTAGCTGGGACTACAGTCGTGCGCCACCATGCCTAGCTAATTTTGTGTATTTTTAATAGAGATGGGGTTTCACCACGTTGTCCAGGATGGTCTCGATCTCCTGACCTCGTGATCCACCCTCCTCAGCCTCCCAAAGTACTGGGATTACAGGTATGAGCCACCATGGCCAGCCTGACTGATACATGTTTAACCTCATTAGTTTAACCTAATGTTTAACCATATGTTTAACCTCATTAGTAATCAAATAGTGCAAATTAAAATAATAAAATAGTTTCTTGCCTCTTCACATTTCCAAAAAAAGTTTTTAATTATACTCATTTTTTTAATGAGAGTATAGTGAGATAATTACATATTTAAAAAGGTAAGAATTGGTCTGCCATTTCTAGAAAACAATTTGAAAGAGTTCAAATAATTTAAACCAGTAAGTGTATTTTAGAACTTTAGCATAAAGAAATGCTGAGCATTTAAATACAAGAATACTTAATACTACATTGGTTATAATAGTGAAAAATTGGAAATAATCAAAATAACAAGGGAGTGAGTTATTAAATAATCATTGGTTTTAGCTCTTACATGGTAGAAATATAGGTGAACTTTTTTCTGTTGTTTTTCTCATATTTTTCTACCATGAGCATATATTCTGTTTCTAGTAGCATAAAAATATTTAAAATTTTTAATTAATAGCCCTGCCTATCCACTTGAAAGATGTCCATCTCACACAATATAAATCTCAATTCTACCTTAGTCAATATGGGTTGCTATAACAGAATACCAGAAACTGGGTTTGCTTAAATGATATTTATTTCTCACAGTTCTAGAGCTCGGGAAGTCCAAGATCTAGGCGCCAGCAGATGTGGTGTCTGGTGAGAGCCCATTCCTGGTTGGCAGACAGATGCCTTCTTGCTGTGTCCTTACATGGCAGAGGGACCTCTTTTGTACCTCTTCTTAAAAGGTCACTAGTCTTATTCTGAGGGCTCCACTCTCATGATCTAATTACCTCTCAAAGATCCACCTCCAAATACCATCACATTAGGGGGTAGAACTTCAACACATGAATCTGGGGTCGGGGGAACACAACCTTCAGTCCATAGCAAATTCCAATATATTAAAGATAGAAATATAAAATATATAAATATGAGATTATTTTTAAAACTCTTGAGCAAGAAGGCTTTTTTTTTTTTTTCTTATTTTTTTATTGCATTTTAGGTTTTGGGGTACATGTGCAGAGCATGCAATATAGTTGCATAGGTACACACATGGCAGTGTGTTCTGTTTGCTTTCACCCCTTCACCCACATTTGGCGTTTCTCCCCAGGCTATCCCTCCCCACCTCCCCCTCCCACTGGCCCTCCCCTTTTCCCCCCAATAGACCCCAGTGTTTAGTACTCCCCTCTCTGTGTCCATGTGTTCTCATTTTTCATCACCTGCCTATGAGTGAGAATATGCGGTGTTTCATTTTCTGTTCTTGTGTCAGTTTGCTGAGAATGATGTTCTCCAGATTCATCCATGTCCCTACAAACAACACGAACTCATCATTTCTGATTGCTGCATAATATTCCATGGTGTATATGTGCCACATTTTCCCAATCCAGTCTATCATCAATGGGCATTTGGGTTGATTCCAGGTCTTTGCTATTGTAAACAGTGCTGCAGTAAACATTCGTGTGCATGTGTCCTTATGGTAGAATGATTTATAGTCCTTTGGGTATATACCCAGTAATGGGATTGCTGGGTCAAATGGAATTTCTATTTCTAAGGCCTTGAGGAATCGCCACACTGTCTTCCACAATAGGTGGACTAATTTACACTCCCACCAACAGTGTAAAAGTGTTCCTTTTTCTCCACATCCTCTCCAGCATCTGTTTTCTCCAGATTTTTTAATGATCGCCATTCTAACTGGCATGAGATGGTATCTCAATGTGGTTTTGATTTGCATCTCTCTGATGACCAGTGACGATGAGCATTTTTTCATATGATTGTTGGCCTCATATATGTCTTCTTTCGTAAAGTGTCTGTTCATATCCTTTGCCCACTTTTGAATGGGCTTGTTTGTTTTTTTCTTGTAAATCTGTTTGAGTGCTTTGTAAATTCTGGATATCAGCCCTTTGTCAGATGGGTAAACTGCAAAAATTTTTTCCCATTCTGTTGGTTGCCTATTCACTCTAGTGACTGTTTCTTTTGCCGTGCAGAAGCTGTGGAGTTTGATTAGGTCCCATTTGTCTATTTTGGCTTTTGTTGCCAATGCTTTTGGTGTTTTGTTCATGAAGTCCTTGCCTACTCCTATGTCCTGGATAGTTTTGCCTAGATTTCCTTCTAGGGTTTTTATTGTGCCAGGTCTTATGTTTAAGTCTTTAATCCATCTGGAGTTAATTTTAGTGTAAGGTGTCAGGAAGGGGTCCAGTTTCTGCTTTCTGCACATGGCTAGCCAGTTTTCCCAACACCATTTGTTAAATAGGGAATCCTTTCCCCATTGCTTGTTTTTGTCAGGTTTATCAAAGATTGTATAGTTGTAGATATGTTGTATTTCCTCCGGTGCCTCTGTTTTGTTCCATTGGTCTATATCTCTGTTTCAGTACCAGTACCATGCTGTTTTGATTACTGTAGCCTTGTAGTATAGTTTGAAATTTGGTAGTGTGATGCCCCCCGCTGTGTTCTTTTTGCTTAGAATTGATTTGGCTATGCGGGCTCTCTTTTGGTTCCATATGAAGTTCATGGTGGTTTTTTCCAGTTCTGTGAAGAAAGTCAATGGTAGCTTGATGGGGATAGCATTGATTCTGTAAATTACTTTGGGCAGTATAGCCATTTTCACGATATTAATTCTTCCTAACCATGGACATGGAATGTTTCTCCATCTGTTTGTGTCCTCTCTGATTTCGTTGAGCAGTGGCTTGTAGTTCTCCTTGAAGAGGTCTCTCACGTTCCTTGTGAGTTGTATTCCAAGGTATTTTATTCTTTTTGTAACAATTGTGAATGGCAGTTCGTTCTTGATTTGGCTTTCTTTAAGTCTGTTATTGGTGTAGACGAATGCTTGTGATTTTTGCACGTTGATTTTATATCCAGAGACTTTGCTGAAGTTGCTCATCAGTTTCAGGAGTTTTTGGGCTGAGGCGATGGGGTCTTCTAGGTATACTATCATGTCGTCTGCAAATAGAGACAATTTGGCTTCCACCTTTCCTGTTTGAATACCCTTTATTTCTTTTTCTTGCCTGATTGCTCTGGCTAGAACTTCCAGTACTATATTGAATAGGAGTGGTGAGAGAGGGCATCCTTGTCTAGTGCCGGATTTCAAAGGGCATGCTTCCAGTTTTTGTCCATTCAGTATGATATTGGCTGTTGGTTTGTCATAAATAGCTTTTATTACTTTGAGATACGTTCCATCGATACCGAGTTTATTGAGGGTTTTTAACATAAAGGGCTGTTGTATTTTGTCAAATGCCTTCTCTGCGTCAATTGTGATAATCATGTGATTTTTGTTTTTGGTTCTGTTTATGTGGTGAATTACGTTTATAGACTTGCGTATGTTGAACCAGCCTTGCATCCCCGGGATGAATCCTACTTGATCGTGATGAATAAGTTTTTTGATTTGCTGTTGCAATCGGCTTGCCAATATTTTATTGAAGATTTTTGCATCTGTGTTCATCATGGATATTGGCCGGAAGTTTTCTTTTCTTGTTGGGTCTCTGCCGGGTTTTGGTATCAGGATGATGTTGGTCTCATAAAATGATTTGGGAAGGATTCCCTCTTTTTGGATTATTTGGAATAGTTTTCGAAGGAATAGTACCAGCTCCTCTTTGTGTGTCTGGTAGAATTCGGCTGTGAACCCGTCTGGACCTGGGCTTTTTTTGTGTGGTAGGCTCTTAATTGCTGC